TTTTAATTCTTTAGTTTTAACTTCTAGTAAGGTAAATATCAATAGATAGGTTCTATACAAATCAAAGCTCTTTGGAGTCCTCACTAATTTTTAAGAGTATAAAGGGGTCCAGAGAAAAAATGTGAGACCTGCTGTCCTGGCTAATGCTAATGGGTAAAGAAGATATCCCATGTGGCTAATGTGAGTTTTCATTATTCTCACAGCATCTGTCCTTATACCTGTATTTGGGTTTGTCTATGCTGACTTGTTACCCATGCTTGGCAAAGTCCTGATTAAATAAAGTGGAGACTATAATTAAAATATTCGTTTGTAGTCATTGTACCCTTCACTCAATACATGCCTAAACCTGATACAAATTACAGTATTTATTATATATAAAAGGTGTTTAAAGCTTTGCCAATGAGGTGAAGCTTTGTCCTTTAATGGTATCTTATAAGGAGGTCTGAATGGGCCTAACAGTCAATATTTTTTTTTTACACCTGCAATTATTAAATTTTCACAGTTTTGAATACTCAGACAACTGGTTCTTATTTCTTCTATGCTATGTTAACTTCATAGGAACACTTGAAAACTACCTCCTGCTAAATACATATTGGTTCTCAAACTCTAATCTCTAGCATAAACAATGACTGACGGACAAATTGATTTTTAATGCAAGCCAATGTGCAGTAATAAAACTGAAAAACAAAAACAAAAAAGAATCCAGATTCCAAAGTCCTAACCTATAAGATTATCTTAGAAGGATAATTTTTTCAGAACCAAGAACAAAACCATTTAGACCTGAGGATCTTGAAGAGTTATGATAAATTATTAAAACCAGAATCAAACCAGACTGCTTATTTTTTAAAACTTTACAAGGGCAAAGCATTTTTTCTAAAACATTATTGTCTTTCACTAAGTACTGCAAAATACCTTAATTAATTCTTGAGATTCTAACAGCCCTAAAAGCAAGTCATAAAAATGATACTTACTTGTGAGTATAAACTGGAATGACATTTTGGGAGGGCCATTTGAAAATATTTAGCAGAAGCCTAATATGCATACCCACTGACTAAGAAATTCCATTTTGGAAATTGATCTGGAGAAAAATGGAAACGATGAAGACACATGGGTGTGCATTACATCCAACAACATGGGACTGATCAAGGAAATTGGTTTATCGTACTATAAAGGCATACTATGTGGCCTAATACAAAAATATAAAAGTTAATCATAAAATTATGTATGGCAAGGGAAGGTATTTACTGTATATGGGTGAGAGCAATATATAGCTGAAAGCAAGTTATAAGATTATAGGATTATATGATTTTATTTTTTCCTAAAATATGGGCATGAAAATATCTGGAAGCATATAAATTAATGATGTTTATTGTTGAGTTGGGGATCACAGGCAATTTTTATTTACTTTTTTTGAGGACTCTGTAATCTAGTTCTGGTATAGTGAACATCTTTTCCTTATATATTAAAAGTAATTATTAAAATCTTTACTTGAGGCAACCATGTCATTATTAGTGTTCCTCTAATTCTCAGAATTCTGAATACTGTAAGTACTATGGGAAAGTGGTGGAGGGGAGAGAGATGAGAAGAGGAGGGAGGAAGGCTAATAGACCTTTATATTGTTTATTATTTTATCATACATATTTATTGCAAAGCATTAGATTAATCTTTGATTTAACAATCTGGAAAAAAATTTCAGTGGAATATTGTAGTAAATAGTTAAACGTTCACAAGATCACACTCTACTCTCATAGATTTAATTTTTTTCCTCTCCTTGGAATGCTGATTTTGTTCTGTAGGAGCAGGTGGCTTTCTTTTTTATGTCTCTCTTCTTTCTTGTCATAAACAGCTATCTCAAAACTTTTTTGGGAGCTAACCAAGCTTTATCTAACCAAACCCAAAATGGCATATGGACTTCATCCACATGGTCATATGAATCTGCTGGCTGATGACTCCTGCCATGTATCTAATCGGTTTTATAAAATCCATGCTTGAAGATTCTATAGCTATAAGAGTGTGATGCTGTGGGAGGAAGGAATGTAGTGGCAAAGAGGCTACTTTAGCTGCTATGCTGGAGTCTGGGAGCCATCACTGCCACCAAATATTGGCAATATACCTCCCAACAAAGGAAGAATCCTAATAATTTTGAGTGAAAAATTTCTATCATGCATTTCAGCTTAGATCTACTAATAACACTTCTTTAAATGCCTCGTTAGACAGTGAAATCTGGGAGTAATTATCAAACACCATATACAGTGTTTACAATAGAATCATATTTCTTTTCTTCTCTCCCCCTCCCACTTTTTTTTTTTTTTGCATAAAAAAGTAGAATGCTGTTGAATGGTACCCAAATGTCTGTTGTATACCATGCCAATACAGCAGCTCAGCCAAAAATGCGAACAGAACAGTTTGCCAAGTAAAAGAAAACATAACAAATTGGTAATGGTTTCTATCTTGACAGAAAATGAAAATGATCCCTCAATGTGTGGTCACTCATGCGGACACATAAAAATGTCTGAGAAGCAATCATTTTACCCCAGATAACAGACCCTGACAGTGTAGTACAGCACTGGCTGACTTTCACTTCTTAGAAAAGCGGTAACCGTGACCTACAAAATAGTCTGGTAACCATGTAATTTATGCATAACACACATGCACATGCCATGCACTCATAATATTTGCCATAAATCATTTTGAATATAAGACTTCTTTTCTGAGCAGAATATACTTTATGAGAGATGGTCTAAATCACCAGAGACCTGATAAACTTGAACGGGTGTATTTATGAACAGAAAGGATGTTGTTTCTTATCAGGTTACAACACTTCAATAGTCTGTATTGCAGTAAAAAGAGTCCTGTGTGTTCTGTATGATTCTGTGTAGTGCCTTGAAACACTGAAGGTATTTTTTATTAGATGTAGATAAAACAAATACTAAAAATGCATAGGTACACAGTGGATAGTTCTGACTTTCTGTTTAGGATACTGTAACTAAAAGTAGAAATGAACCCCCTGAAGACCTGGTAAGTCTTTAACTTGCTTACCCTTCCTTTTCCACGTATTTTTGTTCCCCAGATGGAGAAGTGGTCAACATCACTGACCAGTGATTTTACCATCTGGTAAGGTTTCTGCATTTGTTTACTTTTTTTTTTTTTCCCATTTGTTTACTTTCTAATGAGGATGTTAGAACATGGAGTGTACTGTGAAATCACATCAAAAGCAAGAATGATTTTAAAAACACTGACACGTCTGAAGCTAATGAGGAATTCACAATGAGAGAATATGGAAACAAGTGGCTAGGAAGAACCTTGGGAAGTTAAATGGTCTTGCCAAGTTAAAAGTAAATTTGAATCCTGCATGTTATGGGTTTCAAATGAAATTTCTGGGTTTAAATTTGTTGGTGACTTTCCTGTTCAATAAAAAAGGACTTAAATGGCTTATAAAAAGGTTAAAAAAACTTATTGGGCATCAAACTGCTCTTACAAAACACCATCTTGATGAGTTAAGTGTAAATGAATCAGAAACACATGGATCATATTTCCTTAAAAAATGCATATGGATTCAAAAATAAGGGGAAGAGGACTTGGCAAAACATTTTTCTGTGTGGTGGCTGAACCCAAAACATTTGAAAGATATTTTGAGACATTCAGGGAATCCAAAATAAAACTAAACCTGTCCAGTCATATAAAAAACAGAAAGTTCTTCTATGTAATGTGCATTTGTCTCTAAGGGTCAGTCAGCACTCACTGAGCCTTCACCTTTGGTACACAACTGTGGGAGGAGCCAGCTTCTGCCTTTAAGCAAGTTTGAACTTAAGTATAAACAAACACACATAAGTAATAGAAACCAATTAAAAGAGTCTCAGGGTTAAAAAAAAAAAAATAACACATAACCTAGACCATACAGAAACTACATATTGGGAAATATATAAGTACTTCAGGGTCCTAAGGGAGGTCAGATTCATTCCATTCAAATCATCATCCCCTCAGTCCTTTTGATTAAAGTTGTATACAGTTGAAAGATCCTACTTGCTTAAATGTTTGCTTAATAAGTGTTTTTATGTCTTTTTAAACGTGTGTCCCAGCCCTCTTTCCTCCACCCTCTAGATTTGTGAGTGCTGACTGGTTTCCTGGAGGATGGGAGTGTTGAGCAGTTTTGAACGAGCAGAGAGATGCTGTCTGGCAGAGAGGAGTGAGGCTGTGATTCTGGGTTGGGCTAATGGTACATGTGACAGTTCAGAGGCTCCAGAGGGTGAGTCATATGTGGGGGTGACCCTTTGGCTTGCTCTCGGGAGCAATGTGCTTGAGCCAGGGTGTAGTGGGAGGTGAGGGCAGTTAGGTGTGGGGAGTCCTAATATACTACATGTGAAGTCAACTGGAGGACAGAGGAGGGTGATAAGGAAAAGCACAATTCTTATTTCTTTTTTTTTTTCCCTTTTTGCCAGTATAGGATAAAGTGTTAAGCACAGGACATGTATAAGTCATTAATTCCTTTATTTCTTATCAGTGTCTTAGAAAGCTGAAAAACAGCCAGAGGAAAAATAAGTTGACTGTGTATGAATTGCTAGGATCTTGTAGGTCATAAATTTTAAGAGAAACTTAGTAGGATTATGAAATGTATTACTGACTCCTAAAATGTTTCTGGGAAAGTGTAAAAAATTAATGATTTAGAATCTTTTGAGGCTGGTTTCTAGCTGTATAATGTGAATTTTATCTTTTCTACATTATTAAAAAGTTATTTAGGACAAAGAGAGTGTCACATATTTCTTTGTATATTTTCCACTGGCTAGCACAATACTGGGAACACACCAAGCACTCAATAAATGCTTACTGAAGTGAAATGAAGTCAAAAGGTGCTGAGGCGCTATAATGACTAGGATGTGATTAAAGGTGAAGTTCAGTGGGGATAAAAAGGATGACATAGTGGAAATGCCCTAATATCCTAATAGTGCCTCTGCTCTGAGCCTATTTGTTCATGGTTAATACAGAGAAATCAAAGCCCTTACCATCCTTCATCATCTTCTACTTCTGCTTCAGAAATGTCGTTTTCAGGAGTTTCAGCAATTGCTTGAGTGAGTTTAGATTTAAACTGGTTCAGCAGCGCCAGGGTCTGAAAAAATGATTACATTGCTAAGTTTTCTGATAAGGATAAATATAATTTTAAAAGAGACACTGGAATTTGGTAGAAAAAATTTGAATCACTTAGACTTAGATACATTTTTAATTTTGAAGGGAAAAAACCCAAAACTCCAGCAGTGATTGTTATTCAAAAACCTTGACAATGCCCTGTTTGCATTTGCACTGACGTTTTCCTCAGGCATATGTGACTATTTTCTGATTTGGGGAACATTAAGTTGCTTATATAGAAGATGCTTAAACCTTAAAATGCATGCTTGTTAATGGCTAATTTTTAAGGAGTGATATTTTTAGAAAGCTATTTAAATTTATCAAAACTTTAAGATGATCATTCCCTTTGATTCAATCACTTCAATCCTGGGAATACATGAAGAAAAATAATATGAAACAGAAGATGGCTTATGGAAAAGATGTACACTGCAGCCATATTACAACAAATGGAAAAATGAAAACATGTTAAATGTCTATCAGTAATGAACTTGAAAAATTTGGTAAAAAGCAATGAATATGCTATTACACTATTAAAAATTATATACAAGAGGCATTCCATTTATTGTTTTTTTAAAAAATTTTTTATAGTTTATTTTTGAGACAGAGCATGAGCAGGGGAGGGGCAGAGAGAGAGAGAGAGAGAGAGAGAGAGAGAGAGACAGAGTCTGAAACTGGCTCCAGGCTCTGAGCTACCAGCACAGAACCCAATATGGGCCTCGAACCCACGAACTACGAGATCATGACCTGAGCTGAAGTCGGATGCTTAACCGACTGAGCCACCCAGGTCCCCCTACATTCTATTGTTAAGTAAAAGAAGTGGGCCATAAATACCATGTTCAGTAGGCTTTTAAGAAAAGGGCACAATTTCTATGATTTTTGTTTGTCTCCCATGTCCTTTGTGAGAAACAAGTGCCTACAGTTTTGTAATTACACGGTCCCCTTGCTATAACTTAACAGCTTACTCCAGAATTTGAGTAGAGAACAAAAGCTGAAATTTTTTTTTATCCTACAGTTTAAAAAAGTACCTAATTGTGAAACGGGATGAAGTACTACCTGTCTAAAAAAAAATTAGATGACTTATTAAGAGACTAACCCATTGAATTCAGTACTAAAATATTCACATTTCATAAGGAAAAAGAGGTATGATAGTTCAACATGTGAATAACAAGTAGAGTAAAGCATCAGAATAAATTGTTAGGGTCTGTAATTTATCTAGGAAATACCATTGAGACCACAGTTCATGGAAAAATTAAGCAGGTTTTGGTGATCTCAATATTTGGTGATCTCTTTATTGAAGCTCAATAAAGATAGACAGTACAAGAAACAAAAGCAGTTACTACTAAAAATGATAGTGAAAGTGCCTTACGTGCTTTCTGCAAAATTTAATGCCCACATGGATAACAGATGAAAATATACTCATTGCCATAGTGTCCACTTGGAAATAGGATGAGTTTTGGAGGAAACACTAAATTCCTACAGAAGAATATCTGTATGGGCATTCAGAGGGCTGCCTAGCGCATTAGGGTTTAGATATTTTATGTTTCCAGAAGAGTAATTAAAAGATTAAGCTCTTTAAACAGTGTTAACATAAAAAGAAGGCATCCCTTGTTTTTAAACCTTATTCGTTAAAAACTCTTTTGCTTACAAACTTTTCATGTATTCGCTTTATAATAAGAGTTTAATTTAGAAATATTAGAAAATAAGGAGAAGCAAAACAAAAGTATCTATTATCCCATCACTAAGACTATCAATTTTTGACATTTTGGTACATATCCTAAGGCTTTTTAGGTGTTTTTTTTTTTTTAAATTTTTGTGTATGTGTATGAGCTTATATATCTTTATGTATGTTATATAAAATATATCTCTAAAATCATATTTCTATATCTATCTATAGCTTAAAAGTATGCCCCATCATTTTTTAATGGTGGGCCTTTGTACACTTGGAAATGTCTTTTCTGGAAGCATAAAGGAAAATGAAAACAGAGGAGACTTCTTAGTGGAATGAAATTTAAAAACTTCTAGAAAATTATGCTAGACCTGGATCTTTCCCCTTGAGTTTTGAAAGTGGCAGGGCAGTCTGTTTTTAGAGCCAGTTAATGTGCTACTGGCATTTGCTCAAAGAAAGGGGACTGTAACAAACAAAAAACATCCTCTTGGCCTCTCTTAGCTTCTCCTATATTCGAGAGTGGACTTTGTCTAGCTGTGTTTGAAAGACAGGAGAAGACGACACTAGGTGGAAAAGCAAACATCACAAAAATAATAGGGCACAACATAGGATAAAGAAGATGGGATTTGCATAGGGGCTTTTCTGTTTGGCATCTCTAGGGGAGTTGGTCTTCTGGTTTCTGCTGAAGGAATGAATGATCAACTACTTATAGCATGGCTCTTCAGCATGGTGAGAGTCTTCCTAGTAGGAGGAAACTATTTTGAAGAGGTCCTGCCTTGGCCGACTTCATGCATGCATATCTACACAGAAGAGTCTCTTCAACTGGCCTCTGCCTCTCTAGTCCTGCCCTGGGTCCAGTATATTCTCTATACTGCATCCAGGTTGGAGGAATCTTCCCGAAGTGCAAATGAGAACATGTCATTTCCTTCTTTCAATGGCTACCCCCCTGACCTAAGGGTAAAAATAAATTTCTTAATGTGGCTCAGAAATGCCTTGCATGGGTTGGTTTCTGCTTCCCTCTCCTGCATCATCTTTCTCTTAGTTTGTTATAGTCGTGCTTAACATGTTTTATAGTTCTTTGCAAACAGATCAAAGATTTCTCATATATGCTTCCTTTTGTCTGGCCACCTATCTCCTATTCAACCTTCAAAGTTCACTGACCATTCATTTTCTCAAGGAGGCTTTCCCAGATTCTTAGCCCATGTTAAGTCCTACTGTTATACATTTACATAGTTCCCTATACTTAACCTGACAGAATGCTCACCTTCTTTTATTGGTATTACTTGTTTAACTGGCTCTTTTCCCTAACAGCTCAGAGAGGATAGGGAGGTGTCCACCTTGTTTAACACCAAATACAGTGATTACTACATGGTAGCTTCTTAATAATTATTTGCTAGGAGGTAAAAAAGAAGAGTACATGATTAAGAATGATGCTTAGGGTATCTCTGTGAGTAAAGTGACTGTAGTTGCTATTCAAAGAGCTTTGTGACTCCATGAAAACAAGTTAATAATGTACTTTATAGCATGTTGTCAAATATATATATATACATATGTATATGTGTATATGTATATACATATATACGGCAGCACCAAAAATAAATGGTTTTGGTCTTCCCCCTAGCTTTTCAATATGAAGAGATTTACTGAAGAGACTTATTTTATTGACTGGGAAGGGTTGTATGGTGTGTACAACTGATTTCAAATTGTTGAACTATCTATTTTTATTATTTCTAACAATCTTCTTTTATTCTTAAAGATGCAGAAATTATTTGCAATAAGCAGAGTTCTGCAATATTACTTACAATATTGCCTTATTTGCAGGCAGTGTACAGTTTTAAGCAGAGCTCTGAGATACTGTGAGATCTTTCATGTGAGATAACGGGCTAGAAGAGACCTCTTCATCATTTATAATCACCGCTTTTCCACTTCATAATATTTACTCAGACAAAGTTCTAGCTGGATATCTAAGAATATGTGGCTTTACAAGATTCTTAGCTTGATATGGGAGAACAAGGTTGAAAGCTGAAAGTTTTTAGGCTTTTTGCCTTTAATATCTGGAAAGAACATGAGTGGCCAAGGTCCTTGTCACCCTTCCCTATGCGAATATATAATTTTTCATTTTTAAGAGGTAGTGCTTTCCCACTGTCTTATCAAATTAGGCTCCATTAGCAACACTTGAAGACAATTAAAAGGCAATGAATTACAAATGGATTTTGATTTGTGACATTACCTGATCTTCCCGGGAAGTTCCCTTCTTTGCCTGTTGCTTCCTCAGAGCTTCATACTTTTGCTTTTCTCTTCTGTATTCTGCAATAGCACCATCAGAAGCAGTTTCTTCTTCTGAAGAATAATAGAATGTTCTTAGAATAAATAGTAAAAAGGCTGGGTGGTTTCATATTAACATCTATGCTTATTACAGAAGATGACGTCAAAACCTGGGATTGGTTTTCACTCATTTAAAAAATCAAACCAATAAACTCCGCCAGCTCCACAACTATTGCCTCGGCTAGAAAGTGACTGATGTTAATTTATCAACCAATTTTATAAACACCTTTATTATATACTGCACTATTGTAGTTGTCATTTGTTTGACTATAAAATTATCTATCTCACTTTTAAAATAATTAAGATTTGGGGCGCCTGGATGGCTTAGTCGGTTAAGCATCCGACTTTCGCTTAGGTCATGATCTCGCAGTTTGTGGGTTCGAGCCCCGCGTCGGGCTCTGTGCTGACTGCCAGCTCAGAGCCTGGAGCCTATTTCAGAGTCTGTATCTCCCTCTCTCTCTGACCCNCTCTGTGCTGACTGCCAGCTCAGAGCCTGGAGCCTATTTCAGAGTCTGTATCTCCCTCTCTCTCTGACCCTCCCCTGCTCACTCTGTCTCTCTCTCTCTCTCTCCTAGAAATAAATAAAAATATAAAAAAATAAAATAAAATATTTAAGATTTTTCGGAGCACCTGGATGGCTCAGTCAGTTAAGCACCTGAGTTTGACTCAGGTCAAAGACTCTCATGGTCTCTGGGTTTGAGGCTCACATTGGGCTCTGTGCTGACAGCTTAGAGCCTGGAGCCTGCTTCGAATTCTGTGTTTCCCTCTCTCTCTGCCCCTTCTCAACTTATACTCTGTCTCTCTCTAAAAGATAAACATTAAAAATATTTAAGCAATTAAGATATTCCTAAAATTCAGCAATGCTAATTTACATTATTCTCCTGCCTTATAAGATACAGTCTTTCAACACTGATTTTCCAATTACCTACCACTTTTGTTCTCCAGTTAAAACAACAATAACAACAACAAATACATAAGTTCAATTTGATGTCATCACAAAAAATTAATATATCCAGCAAATAACTCAGGACAGTTATCAGAAGCAGATAAAAATAATTTTTACTAAGTTAGAAATTAGAAAACCAATTTATAGATTTGATCCTGCCTTAATTCCCTGTGAAGATTAGTTAACATTTGGGTTTACAGAACACAGTTTTGCCTCAAAAAAAAAGTACTAACATTTTACATTAACTTACATACACACATATTAATGAAAATGACTTAAAAAATACCCAAAACTGATCTCTTTTTATCTCTGGCTGGTAAACTAAGAGGAGCCAGATGTAATCAAGAATGCCAGTAATCTTTCTACTCAACCCTTGGTTTGTTGCTTGCCTTTTTGATTATAGAGTTGAAGAATGTTATTAATATGCAGCATATTAACAATTAGCTGTTTTGTTCAGGAGACTTTTTCTTTTTTTTTTTTTTACTATCTCAACATACTTTTATTTTACATCTTTTTTTAAGAAAATAATTTATTGTCGAGTTAGGTAACATACAGTGCATATATAGTGTAGTCTTGGCTTTGGGAGTAGATTCCTGTGGTTCATCACTTACGTACAGCATCCAGTGCTCATCCCAACAAATGCCCTGCTCAGTGCCCATCACCCATTTTCCCCATCTCTCTCCAACCCTCCACCCCCATCAGCCTTCAGTTCTCTGTATTTAAGAGTCTCTTAATGGTTTTACTCCCTCTCGGTTTGTAGCTTATTTTTCCTTCCCTTCCCCTATGGTCTTCTGTTAAGTGTCTCAAATTCCCACATATGAGTGATAACATAAGATACATAGGATAACCTGTCTTTTTCTGGCTGACTTATTTCACTTAGCATAATACCCTCCAGTTGCATCCACGTTGTTCACCTGGCAAGATTTTATTCTTTTGTCATTCCCGAGTAGTATTCCATTGTACACATATACCACATCTTCTTTATCCATTCATCAGCTGATTGACATTTGGACTGTTTCCATTATTTGGCTATTGTTGATGGTACCTCTATAAACATTGGGGTACATATGCCCCTATGAATCAGCACTCCTGTGTCCTTTGGATAAATTCCTAGTAGTTTTATTGCTGGGTCATAGAGTAGTTTTATTTTTAATTTTTTTGAGGAACTTCTATACTTTCTCAGAGTGGCTGCACCAGTTTGCATTCCCACCAACAGTGCAAGAGGGTTCCCCTTCCTCCACATCCTTGCCAACATCTATTGTTTATGGAGGTGTTAATTTTACCCACTCTGATTGGTATCACGTGGTATCTCAAAGTGGTTTTGATTTGTATTTCCCTTATGATGCACTTTTGAGCATCTTTTCATGTGTCTGTTGGTCATCTGGATGTCTTCTTTGGAAAAGTGTCTATTCATGTCTTCTTCCCATTTCTTCACTGGATTATTTGTTTTCCAGGTGTTGAGTTTAATAAATTCTTTGTAGATTTTTGATACTAACCCTTTATCTGATATGTCATTTGCAAACATCTCCTATTCTGTGGATTGCCGTTTAGTTTTGTTGATTGTTTGTTGTGCAGAAGCTTTTTATCTTGATGAGATCCTAATCATTCATTTTTGCTTTTATTTCCCTTGCATTCAAAGATGTGTAAGAAGTTGCTGTGGCCAAGGTCAAAGAGGTTGTTGCCTGTTTTCTCTTCTAGGATTTTGATGGTTTCCTTTCTCACATTCAGGTCCTTCATCCATTTTGAACTTATTTTTGTGTGTTGTGTAAGAAAGTGGTCCAGTTTCATTCTTCTGCATGTCACTGTCCAGTTTTCCCAGCATCATTTGGTAGAGACTGTTTTTTTTTCCCCATTGGATACTCTTTTCTGCTTTGTCAAAAATTAGTTTGTCATACATATGTAGGTCCATTTCTGGGTTCCCTATTCTGTTCCATTGGTCTATGTGTCTGTTTTTGTGCCAATAAAATACTGTCTTGATGATTACAGCTTTGTAAGACAGCTTGAAGTTTGGGATTGTGATGTCTCCAGGTTTGGTTTTCATTTTCAACATTACTTTGGCAATTCTGGGTCTTCTGTGGTTCCATACACATTTAGGATTGTTTGTTCTAGCTCTGTGAGGAATGCTGGTGCTAATTTGGTTGAGATTGCATTGGATTCATAGACTGCTTTGGGTGGTATTAACATTTTAACAACATTTCTTCTTCCAGTCCATGAGCACGGAATGTTTTTTCATTTGCTTGTGTCTTTAATTTCTTTCATAAGTTTTCTACAGTTTTCAGTGTACAAATCTTTTATGTATTTGGTTAGGTTTATTCCTAGGTATTTTATGGTTCTTGGTACAGTTTTAAATGTTATCAATTCCTTGATACCTCTTTCTGTTGCTTTATTATTGGTATATAGAAATGCAACTGATAAGAGATTTTCTAACACAGTAACATTTGCTGCACAAACCCAACTGGTGAAAAATCTGGTCAACTCTTCCATTTCCTAACTGATATATCACATTAGTATAAAGTACTTCTCTTTATACTATGATCAACTATGAATAATCACAGAACATTAATTTTTCATTTTGATTTCTCAGCAGTATACTCTGAATAATTTCCTTAGTTTTATATTTCAGTTCACTAATTCTTTGTTTCGTTGTATCTAATCAGTTTTTAAGACATAAACTGAGCCACTGATTTTAATAATTATATTTTTTATTTTTAGATATTCTATTTGGTTTTTCAGATTCACCTCTTTTGATAGCCTTAGTCTTTTTTTTTTTTTAAGTTTATTTATTTATTTTGAGAGAAAGACAGAGAGAGGGAGAGAGAAAGAGTGAGTACACGAGCAGGGTAGGGGCAGAGAGAGAGGGAGAGAGAGACTCCCAAGCTGGTTCTGTGCTGTCAGCATGGAGCCTGATGTGGGGCTTGATATCATGAACCATGAGATCATGACCTGAACCAATATCCAGAGTCAGACACTTAACCACCTGAGCCACCCAGGAGCCCCACTGATAGCCTTAGTCTTTTGTTATGATATTTCATGATTAAAAAAATCTCTTTTAATTATTTAAAACACACTTATTATGTTTTATCTTTCAGATTCTTCTTGAGTATCTTTCTGTTATGTCTTCTTTCTCTCTTCCTAGGCTCATCATTTCTCTATGTTTTCTAATTTTTTATTGTGACTTTATCTTGAGCTAGAGCTTCATCTCCATCATGCTCCATAGGAATCCTAGGCACCCAGGATTGTGTGTTTCTACAGAGAAATTCCACATTTGTTTCTACCAGGCAATTTAGGGGTTCCAATGGTCTGAAGCCATTAATTAAATTAATTTCTTGACTTAGGATTCCTGTACCATACAGTTAGTGTATGTATATTCACACTTTGTAGCCATGCCTGGTAGAGGTTTAGAGTTTGGATTTTTTTGACAGACTCCTCCCACATATAGTTCTGAAAAATGAAAAGCTTCATTGTGGCCTTCCTGACTAGGTGGACAGTTTTTCTAGTTCCCATTTCTCTTGACTCAAGGTTACATTGCTGTCTGTGTCTTAGATAAAAACTCCACCTTCTAGCTAGTAAAGCCTACATCTGGTTCCAATATGCCCCTGAGCAACTACAGTAGCAGCTTGCCCACTTAATGCTCTAGTTATTCCTCCCCTTTGTTTCTAGTACCCAGGGCTTTTCTTTTTTTCTTCTCTCTCTCTCTCTCTCTCTCTCTTTCAAGCTTAGCTAATATTTAAATTGGGCTTGATTATATTTTAGTCAGTGTTTCTATATATTTGTAGTAGAATTAAGTTCTGTGCTAACTCAGTCCATGTTGCCAGAACAGGAAGTAGCACATTCATTTCTCATGTGCTTGAATCCTCCTGAATAAACAAAAATTGAATAAGTGACTGGATGATTTTAGTGACATAAAACTGGCTAATAAAATACACAAAGAGTTTGAATAATTTAGTCTCTATGTACAGACTGTTCTTTTACTTTCTTATAAATCTCAATATACAGTGGATGATAATTCATAAATAATAATGATATAGTATGATGACTATTTGTCATTAACTGAAATTTCTACAAAACA